ACGAAAATGAAACGATATTTGTCTTTTACACGATGCCGTCGAGAAGTTTGTCGCAACGAGAGACGATGAGACAGGGATAGTTTTGATAAAGTTTCGAGGTTTCGTTGCTCATCCTTGCTCATAAAGTGGCGTGCATACACTGTGTAATCTTGCCTTTCGTGCACGAACTTTACCCTATCCACTCTAACGTTTCTCGTTCATACCGTTTGCATTTTCGAGGAAAAGAGGGGCCATCCAGGTGGAACGATCGCGAAGATCCAATCCACTTTTGTTACACGGGTTTAAAACCTGGGGAGCGGGAAAAAGCGCGCGAAAATATCCCCCTCGCGGTGAAAAAGAAAAGTTGGACGTTTATCGACAGGGAGGAGTATCCACGGGGTCGTGGAAAAATCGAGGACAACCGGTTACACGTCCGTGAATTCATGGCCCGCGCAACGGTGGTGGGATAAGTATTGTTCCCCTGCCCACTGTGCGAAAAAAGTGGAATAAAAATGGATCCACGCGATCGGGCTTCACAGATTTATCGGCCCGATAAATTCGCGATAGACCTGCCCCACTCGCGAAGGAATGGGATCTCTAGGTGTAAACGCGCGCCGATAAAAATAGAAAAAGTCGAGAAGGCGTTGGCGTTGCACAGGTGTTAGCCGATGACGATGCGGGGGAGGGGGGGGGGCGGAAGAGAAAAAAAGGGGAAGGGGTAGGAAAACGAGACGCGGAGGAAAAAAAGAAGAGAGGTTAGATCGATACGTGTGTACCGGGTGGGATGATGGAAATGGAGAGGTTCTTAATAGGATAAATTTTTTTTAAAGAAATTTTCCTTCTTACTTTCGAGTAAAAACAATTGAAGGGAAATCTCTTTTGGCTCACCTTTTAGCCAAATACATCGAAAGAATTTTATTTTATTGATCGAGTATCGGGGACATTTTCATTTATATTCATTTTGAGAATAATATTCGAAAATGAAAAGTCGAGAAGCACGATGATACTCTTTTTTTTTTATCGACTAATTTTTTCGATTATCCGTTGGCAATTTGAGAGACACCTCGTATATGAGAGACGCTCTTTGAAAGCCGCGAAACAAACGATCACGGCACAGAACATCGTGGAGGATTTCACAAAGCTGGAAATCGCGAGAAAGACGTGAGAGCAGGCCTACTGTTTTTGCTTTGATCCTCGGCTCGTTGAACGGTGAATGATCGGTCTAGAATTATACACGGTCCGAGCGGTCACGTGATCGTGTCCTCGCTGGTTGCTCTTATTCAGGCGCTGTACGCAAGCAAACCGCATGGATAATTACACGTGGCGCGTTGTTGTTGCCCGTGAATTTTCCCTGGCTCTCTTTTCGCCCGTTCACTTGGCCATTGTTGCCTAGGATTTCGCCATTTATCTCTGTAATTTTTCGATCCTCTTTTGCCTTCTTCCCGTCTTCAATTCGTTCCTGTCATTTCTTGACCTAGTTTCAACCACGCACAATGCGAACGCATGAGTAATTACGAGAAACTACTTTTGCTACTCCCTCTCCAATTCGTACTTCCTTTCATACTTAACCTATCGCCGATAACAAATTTTTCTTATCTCGTTATCTTATTCATCTTCCCATCTTTCTCTCTCGATATTCTTTCGATATTCCTTGACCTACTTTGATCTCTGGAATATGAAAATTGATCGCGTGGGTATCGTCGTTAATGCATGAAAAGTTCATTAAAATCACGTTTCGTTTGGATACCATTTGGAAACACGATGCAGCGTTGCGCTTGCAGCGGCGATTTCATTGTTATCACGATTCTATGGCCCTTTATACAAGGATTCCCTTGTTATTGTTCTTTTTCCCCCTCGCAGAATAGCTGTGTTTAAACGGCATGAATAAAAGGTGTTTTCTTTCCTTCTTTTTTTTTTCTTTTTCCCTCTTTTTTACCTTTAGCCGATTTATATCGAGAGCACAATATTTGCCCTATATTCTCACGATTGAATGACCCGGTATTTTTGTAGAGACCTCTATTGAAATTCGATCGGTGCCATCGCTCGGCTAAAGTAACGAGCCAAAATTAACCATATCCGCGATACGACACTCTACGCGATTTTCCAATGCGTGTTATCGATTCGAAAAAGAAAGAGAGAGAGAGAGAGAGAGAAACACAATCAAGTAAAAACACAAAATTTCGCTGCCTTAATTTTGCCTCACGTGTCCGCCAGACCTACCTCCTCGAGATTTTTCCCCCGATCCACGACGAGGAAAATTAAATCCCTTCCCCTATTCGTTGCGTTTCCATTCCGTTTCCATTCGATCGAGAGATCGTAGCTTGCTTGTAGGGCGGGTCATAACGGCGGCTCGTGACTCGTAAGAGAAAGTGTGGTTTCGTGGCTCGCTACCTACCACCAAGAGGAATCGGAAACCGGCGGTGACTGTGAGGATGCTGGAGGGAAGTGACTCTCGATCCAACAGTGGCTCGTCTCGAAAGTAGGGCGAGCCACGCCTAAGAGACCGGCTCTCGCCCTCTCTCAGATGCGTGCACCGTATATATGGCGAGCACTTTGTCCGTGTTGCACTTTTCCCTCCTGTTTTCAAGCGGTCCCCTGGGAAACGAGTACGCCTCTATTTCGCGAAAATTTACGATCGTATCGCCGTGGAAACTATCGAGAACTATCTCTCCCCGCAACCTTGTTTCTTCTCCTCTTTTCTCCGCCTTTGTTTGAACGTGTTTCGAACGCGTGTGTGTCGAAACGAGGGATTAGAATTCATACGTGGTGGAAACGGTTTATGCCACCGTTATGAGCGAAAGCGTTTCGAAAGATCATCGAAGAGAGAATCGGTTATCTCGAGGTTTCATCTTACGTGTACTACTCGTTTCGTTTCGGGGCTGACATTACCACACGCGCGCGCACGGGGTTAAATTCAATTTGAGAGCGATCTTTACATTCGTTCATGGAGAAATCTGATTAGGCTAATAGCATTTGTATAAGGAGGCGGAAGTTGTAAAAAAAAAAAAAAAAGAAGAAAAGAAAAAAAGGGGGTTATTGATCCGTCACGTGGATTGCGTGGCGGCCCGGAATTGCGTCTTTTCCGCCTGGTTTTTCTTCCAATTCCATAATTTTCCTTGAAAATTTGTATCCCTTCAATCGATACTTGTAAATCAAGTTTTGAGAACGAAAGAGATTGTAAATAAAAATTTTACTTCCCATGGAACACGAAGTGGACAGAATTTATTCGACGAGGAGGAGGGAATTAATCCATTGTATCTAAAACAAAAATTTACAAAATTATTTTAAACAACAACACACGCGAAATCCTAATCTTAATCCCTTAATTAAAGAGAAGTTGAATCCTCGAATCTTCTTATTGACCGCGCGATACGCGATACTTCGCAGGCCAAGTCGGTTATTCGATCCCTTGAATTTGAACAGTATCAAAAAGCACCAACCCCTTTGTTGTTTCATTGCAACTCGATTCAAGGTGGTCGATCGATGCTGAATCCTTTCATGGATCTCAAGCGGATTCGAGATGACAAATGCCGCTCGAGGGGAGGGGAGGAGGGGGCGAAGAAGCTGTCGGGCAAACGGAAACGGAATTAAGCTGTACGTTTTGCGTGGGGAATGGCGGTCGGTTGGCGACGCTAGATATGCGGCTCGATTCAACGAAAACCTTTATATATTTATATATATATATACATATGTATGCATAGGTGTACATCCGATTTGCCGCCTAATCGCGAATGTATTCGAAGTCGCGGCGGCACCGGTGTCGACTGCCACGAAAGCTCGAGGACAAATAGAAGCTCGAGCTGGCGACCTCTCTGCATAATGCATACCATCGTCGTCGTCGTCGTCGTCGTCTTGTTCATCGTCGTTGCCGCGCTCGTTTCAGTCGGAGGTCCTTCAACGTTTCTCCTTCGTTAGCCTTTTATCTTCTCCCTCCCTTCGTTGCCTTTCCTCCTCCTCCTTTCCTCCTCGAATGTCTGGCCTGATACCACCCCTCCGGATGGAGGAAGCCGTGCAATGTATAACTTCGTCCGTGGAAAAAAAAAAAAAAAAAAAAAAAAAGAACAAAGACGCTCGTGACACCGTTCTGCGCCCACCGTTGCGCCATCCCAGCGTTGTTAAGAACCGGCAAGATTTTTAAGAAATGCATGCATTTTTAACGCGGCCACGTGAGAAACTTTTTCCTACCGCGACGGTGACAGGATCTTTCTCTCCTCTGTTGTTGAGATATCGTTGTGGAATTACGTGTCACCGAGTGTTCACTTTTTGTTTCTTCTTTTTCTTTTCCTTTTTTTTTTTTTCGTTTTATTCTCAATAGCGAATTTCTTGACGGCGATGATAGGGAAAGAAGAAAATAGGAGGAGAAAGAGTTTCTTTCTGTTCTCTCTTTTAAATTATGTTTTACGTTATATGTTTGTCAAAAAATATTTCAAAGGAATATGATTCTATGCAGAATATAACGGGAGGAAGGAGAATTTTTTCTTTATTTCGCAAATTAATTGTATTTGTAGGAATTGTTGTTATTGCGTGGATATTATTTTTTTTTTTTTTTAATATTATTGCTGGATTTCATCTCGGCACATTTATGAGAATGAACTGGGTAACTTCTTCTTTCAAGTTCCTCTTCACGGTAATAAAGTGAGGAGGGACCTAGATTCCGGCAAAGCTCTTTAAGCGTACTGCTTTGAAGTTAGATAATTAAGTATTATATATCATATGATAAAGTGTTTATATCGCGATGTTTATTCTTCCTTCATTTTTTTTTTTTTTTTTTTATTAAGCACGTAAATCGAAATGATTTTTAATCGCTTTCTTAAGCAACGGCACTTTAATCGTAGATATTAAGAACGGGTTTAAAATTAAACTTTAAAATAAACTTAACAATGCAAATATTCCCCTCTAATTTCCTCTTAAATTCTCTTTATTCTTTTATTTGTTTTTATGAAAAACAAATATTTATAGACACCGCTTTCTTTTCGATTTTATTATGAATGAAACTTCAATAAATTTTCCCTTTTTTTCAGGAATGACGATCGGTGCGGCGATGACGAGGATTGAAAGCTACCGCTGATTCATAGGATACCCTGCAGGGCCACTCGCTACCAAAATGAGCACATCGCTGCGAATTTTGGCGCTAATCAGCTTAGCTGCGCAGAACGTGGCTTGGCCGCAAGATCCGGTTCCTAGGCTGCATGTCAAACATCGTCAGTAATATTCATCTAGCACGAGCATAATTGCTCCATTGATTTCTTAATTCAATAACAATTAGAACCATTTATCGTGCTTAGCAAAGGATCGAAAAACAAAAGTCTCGCTCCTGTGTCCTTTAATTTTCTAACTTTTAATTTTTAATTTTTAAAAGGAATTTGATTTATTTATTTCATTTTTTTTTGAATTATAAATTGAAAATTTTATTAATTTCAGAATATTTATCTTTTTTTTAATTTGAGATTATTGATATTTGAAAATTGAAAAAAAGAAAAAGAAATGGACGAAAACGAGCAGAAATTTTGTTTCAATTTTTGTACAGGGTTAAATTATGTTGAATTTTATTTACGCATAAAAATATTTGGAAAAATCATTTGAAATATCAGTTTGAGAAATTGAATTGTTCTGTTTGTCTGTCGGTTAATGGATTCGATATACGCGTGAAATTAATTTCTTTATCTTTCTGACAAGTTATTTTGCGCTCTTTGTAATGACTATGTATTTGTTACATCCGCGAAATTATTTTCAGGTGGAAAGCGAGAAAAACGACTCTATATTTTTAACCTCTATTTTATTTCCAACTACTATAAAAAGAACGAAACGAATTGGAAAAATCATTTCTATCCAATTACCATTTCAAATTTCAAAATTTTATTATTACAAATTATCGTAAGAATTAAATATTTCTTATTCGAGATATTACTAAATTGTTCGTTGTATATTATCTCTTTTTCACGTAAATGGTTCTAATAAAAATTTAAATTTTAAGAAGATAATTCTAATTTTCTATTGTTTCTTATGGAAACCGATCAATTAATTTATAAATTAATCACAGTGTTTCCAATTTCGATCAGATTCAGATTCTGAATTTATCGCGACGAAATCTTTCGAAACGAAGGACAAAAACCTGCGTCATTTTTATACGAGAATTCATCCCATTCACTGAATGCATTATTAAAAAGAAGAACGAAGGCGATTATCAGCGCCGAGATAAAAGGGTGCAAAAGTTGTTTCGTGCATTTTTATCGTCACATTAATGATAATGTATCGCTTAATTCGGTTCATCGGCCGCCTTTGCGTACGAGAATTTAATGAAAACGAAGGCCGCCACGCTATTTTATATAAATGTATCGAATTATTAAATTGACACACGTTTTAGAATACATATATATATATACATACGCGTGGATATTAAATTAAGATTAATCAAATTAATCGATCAAGAGCCATCAAGAGGCGAGGTGTGCGCATTTTACGCAACCACGCTCCGCGCATTTATTTCACGTCATTAACTCGCCGATGCTCGAAATAATCCCGCGTTACCAATTTGCTCTCTCCATAGAATCGATTTCCCTCCTTTTCCTCCCCTCAGCTCCTTTTTTTCTCTCTCTCTCTCTTTCTTCTTCAACGCGCTTTCATCCCGCAGAATACACTTGCCAATCGAGCAAATGCATCTCGGCTAAAAGGCGTCCCCTTTTTAAAGTTAAAAAAAAAAAAAAAAAAAAAAAATAAAAGTACCACCTCCGAATAAAAGTTTCACGCCTTCCGCGCTAAAATTAATCTCGCCGATTAACGACCGCGTTTCCGGTGGACGAAGGAACGCTTCCGGATTCGAGGTTCGTTCCGCTTCATTACTATGACAGATTATCGGGGAACAATAAGGCACGTTTCGAAGTGGGAGGGAATGGAGGGAGCTCTCCTCGACTCGATTCAATCCTCCTCAATTTTTGTGGAAAGGGAAAGGGGAGATTTTTGTTTCGAGATGATAAAGAAAAAGAAAGAGATAAAAGATTTTTCTAACAATATTTGCAGATGGTCGAACTCACTATTGAACTATTGTCTTTTTTTTTTTTTAAGGAAGTTTTGTCTCTTTCATAAATTGAAAGGGATATTTATGAAAAAGAATGCAATAAAAGGAGAATAATATTTTAGGAAGGCCTTGAGGTAATTTGAATTTTTTTTATTTTTTATTTCTTTTCTAATGCCTTTAGCATAGTTTTCTAATCTGTATAATGATTAATCCGTGTATTTAAATATTCTTCTATTACGAATATTTGGTTCATAAACGAGCCAATGAATCGATTTTTGAATTGAATTCTGTATTATTTCTGTATAACATTCTTTTCATAAATTTGACAAGAACATCGAAACCCTAATTTCAGCAATTAATATTGAATATCATTGTTTTTAAATAATTCTTTCATTCATCTCGTTCATTATCTATTTAACACGAAATTCATTCATATTGATTCTCACTTCCAAAACTTGTGGTTTAAGAAAATATGATTAATTGTCTCTTTTTGCGCACCTCGATTTTTGCTTCCTTCTTTTTCTTCTTCCTTTTGCAAAATCCATGCAATTATCCAAGCTTCCACCGTTATACAAATTAACTATCACCACTATTACACGATAACCTTTTATCGATCGATAAAAATTCCCTCCTTTTCCACAGTTAATTTTCCACGTTAACGTTGTTTGCACGCTGGCTTATCGGGAACAATAACGCACCCGTTTCGCGGCAATTCGAAAGAAGAAAGAAGAAAAAAAAAGAAAAAGTTAAAGTTCTAGTTCCTCCTCCTTAGAAACCGATTCAGACGCTCTTTCTTTTCACGCGGTTCTTTTCACACGGGAAATTTAATTTCCTCCCCGGTGAGATAAAGAAACCTGGGAGAAGAGGAGCGACCGACTGATAGAAAACGGTGGTGTCTGGCGCTATGGAATGAAACGATCCGTATACATGGTAGTGAAGGTTGTCGCCCTGTGAGAATCGGGAACGACTATGTTTTACCTTGAACAGCTACTTGGAAAAAGGGGACGAGGGAGGGGGTGAGAAAAGGGACAAGACAGGATGGGAGGGAAGGATGAGGAGAATTGTGCATACTGGGTGTTCCGAAAGGTTAAGGTCGAAGTTTGAAGGAGGCTTGGTCGTGGTGCTCGTGAAGATAAGGGAGGAATTTATAACAATGATGGAGCGAAATGGCATTTTGCTTCCTGTTTGCTCGGTGTAACGATGCCTTCTCTCTTTTATCCTCATTCACTCGTTTCCTTTTTTCTTTCCTTTGCTTTAAATTATAGAAAAGTTTTTGCAAATTTAATATCTAGGCCGTAGAAGGAGTGTTAAAGTTAAATTAAATCCAGTTTTATTATACGAGTATAACACGATCGATTTCCTTTTTTTTTTTTTTTTTGACGCTAAAAGAGAATTACTTTCTGCGAATCCATCACCGATTTATCATCCCTTCCGTCTATAGAATATCTTCGACACGAATCTTCGTCCCAACACTTTTTAAACCTTTTAACTACGTGATCTGAAATCACATTTAACAACATTTTCGATTCGTTTCAATTAAGCGTCTGAAATTTCCGTACACCCGGTACACGTGTCACGCGCGACGATTTCATCGAGGTCGGCTGTGTTCCATCGATTCAAAGGCATTTCCGTGAGCACCCTTTCGACCGCACCTGTGGATTTGGCCGCTCGTGTAATGTTTAAGATAACGCCCCACCTTGGACGAGCGGATGATGGGGGCGAAAAAAGGATCGAAAAAGAGGAGAGAAGATAAATTACACGTGGTAAAGATTTCTATTATTCCCATTTCTTTCGATCGAGATGCAGTTTACAAGCGAGAGGATTCCCATTTTTTTCTTATCTCTTTTGAAAGGAAACTGTTCTGTATATATATATAAATCATTGTAAGCAAAATTTAAAAAATTTTAAAAATCAGGACTTAAGCATCGAGCACCGACTTGTCGATTCTTCAAACTATTATGGAACTTTTCCAAAATTTCCATGCGCTGTGAAGCAGATTGGCAACTGCACGTTGACAGCCCATTAAATATTTAACAAGTTCCTCCCAGCCAGTGATATAATTTTCTGTAAATTTCTTGCAACCTCTTACCTGCGCGTACAACTCGAGATTACGATTTTTAAAAATCAATATAAATCGTACCGGTTGATCGAAGACAAAACAGTGTACTTTCACCCGTGTATTCGACACGCGTATGGAATGGTAAGAGGCAGGTCGTTAATTACACCGGTTGGTTAGAACAGTTAGAAGATCACGTTACCACGGAGAAGTGATTCGATTGAACCAGCAGGGAAACAAATATACTTCTATTGTGCCCTTTAATAGGTGTGCAACGTTCTGAATAATCCAATTCGTTTAATCACGGTATTTTGAAGCTTTTAAAGGATTGGATAAACCCCTAAATTGCTTTGGACAATTGATTTGAATAGGGGAAAGAGATTATACATGCGAAAAGTGTATATCATTTTTTAATCATTGCGCACGTTTCAACTGTGTAAAACGAATTGTTTTTCTCCTATTGGTGGTCCGCTTTATAACACGGAATTAAGCTCTTGGGGTGGAGTGCCAGTGGGGCGAAGTGCGTGCAACGAGGGTTGCCTGTGTTTCTTTCTTTTTTTTTTTTTTTTTTTTTTTTTTTTTTTTTTGGTGTCAAAATTCAATTTGAACCGTACGTATTTAAATGGTTGAATAGAAATGGAGAAATTATATTTCAATGTTTTATTTCGAACTATACTATTAAAATTGTTCGATAGAAATTTTTCACACGAAATTTTATTAAGGGAATTTTTGATTTTACGGTTTTTGCGCAGTTGACAGTTGAGGCGAAGTAAAATAAAAATATTAATTTTATTTTTATAATTTTATACAGGAATATTCAAAATAAATAATCGATCGATACAAATATTTTAGGCGAGATTTAAACAAAAAAATGTCAGAATAAATTGAAACGAAACGGATACTTTTTCCGCGTATATAATTGAAAAAAGATCAATACCGTTTCGATCACATATTTTTTTCATATATATTTTAATCGAAATTTAAAAAAGAATATTTTACAATGGAATACTCTACTTGTAACGAATATCTATAATATTACCTTTTAAAGGTAAATAATTCTCAATAATTAGTTTCCATTTTCTTGCAAATTAAATGGATAACTATCGAATTTGTTAAATTTGTTAAATTTG